ATACATACACATGCGCGAGCTTATGACCGGGGGCGATAAATCGGGTTGTCCATGGGAATCATGTTCTTTCATGGAAGTTTACCGAACACTTAGCAAGGTAAGCTGATAATCAGTATCCACTCATGTTAATCAAGGCATGTTTAAGTCAGGTCCAGCATTTCATGTCAAGAGAGTCATGTAATTTCATGTTAAGCTCGGTATTGGCCATTAAGAGTCATGACCGAGTAACCTTTAGATATATTTAGATTTCACCGAACAACCCAAGTTCAATTAGTCATGTTAGGTCATTATATGTTCAGTCTTAAAAGATAGGTCAGGGAAAGTTGAAGATTAGTTCATGAATTAGGCCATGGAAGTGGACTGCGCATTCAGCGCAAGTCCACGGACCGAGGTTTTGCCTATCATGTTATCATGTTACATGTTCAGAATCATCCGAGTAACCTCAGTACCAATAAGCTTTAAATAGAATTTAATGGTTAATAGGTCATGGTTGATCGGTGAAAGTTGATGTTTGAACGAGGATGTTGGTTTGGCACCAACACTGTGCGTACGGCACGCACGCCTCGTGGTTATACGAGTAATCAGCAAGTAAGTTCATGATTTTTCAGTAAAGTTCAGCATATATACTCATGTCATGTCAAGTCATGTGAAATCATGTTTGAGTTATCAAAGAAAGTAGCCGAACGGCCGGCGAAAGGCCGACCGTGTTGCCTACCGCACATAGCGTGCGCGCAGGTGCATCCGGCAGTCCCAGCCAGTACACTGGCAGCGCCCGCATGCCCAGTTACATTCCCGCGTGACCAGTACCAGTCCCAGCAGCCCGTCCGCGTACGCTGACGCGTTGCACGCCCGGCAGCGTGTCACGCAACGCCAGTACGCACGCCAGCCGTGTCCCACGCACGCTGGTCAGTGTTCCAGCCCGCGAGCTTGTTCAATAGCATAGCCCGCGCAACCAGCTGTTGTTGGCCATGCCCAACAGCATGCCAGTCATGCTCCCAGCACAAGTACAGTACCAGCCACGCCCGCCAGCCCCGGGACCAAGGCCAGCAGCGCCTGGCAGTGCCCCGGCAGCGCAGTTGACCAGCCAACGAACAGCCACCCGGCGATAGCAAGCCGTGGACCGGCCAGACCGGTTCAGACCGGTCCGGATCGAGAGCTGACCGGTTCAGACCGGTTCAGCATATTTCATGTATTTTCAGCCCCGGTTCATATTTAAATATGATTTTCAGTTAAATTTATGAGTCCGGGTCAGTTCA